ATATTTTTTATTACATCTACTCCCAAAAATTAAAGTGAAGAAGTGGATAAAGAACACGTGCGAAGACTCTTGTGACTAGGAAAACTTGGACTTTTCTCTTTCATGGGAAATTTACTGGTGGGTGAAAGCTGGCCTTTTTTATTTACTTACTTTCTTATTTGCTTACGCTTAGTACGCACGATGAAGACCTATATTTGTTTGACTCGCTTTAGAATCCAATGTATACTTAGAATATTCAGATCATTCATGGTGACTATTATAAAATATTATATTTAATGGTATTAGTATAATATCCTCATTTTATTTAAATTTTAATTTAATCTTATTTAATTAATTTTGGGAACCAAAATTTAAAAATTTAAAAATTTAAGGATAGTTCTTGAAAGTTTCAAAAAGTATAAGGATCTGGGTTGGAATTTTCCCACCGTGTACCTCCAAAGGAAAATCAAAATGGATATGGTGAGTTTTGCAGTCGTGGGTTTCAAACTCACGTGCTGCTATAGTTTAAGGCCATGCTTAGCCATTACGATTAGGGTATTATTCATTTGTTTATTTCGAAATTCTAATGTTAAACTTTTCCAAATTGCCTTCCCCTATTAAATCAAATACCTAGAAAATTAAAAACCCAAAATCCCTAAATCGACTAACTTATTCTCCGTCACCGTCCACCATTATTCGTGATCAACACAATCGATACCAATAGTATCGTCATCGCCGTCCGATCAAAACCCTTTGGTTATTTCCCAAAAACCTCCGTCGATCGACATGGAGAACCCGATGAAGGATCGTCAAAACCTAAAAAACCCCTATTTTCGTCTCTGTCTAATTTCGACCACCGTATGCATCCGTAGGCCACATCGTCGCCACCGATTGACTCGTCATCCCATCCTAGTCAAAACCCGACCAATCTTGCCCCATTTAGGGCCCCGTTCACCGCAAATTGACCATCGAAGCTTTGTCGAAGAATCCATATTACCGCCACTACTCTGCGCTCGTCTCACCTTCACCGTCGTTGAACTCTTTATATCTCTTCAAGTAAAACCCACCCAGATTCGTCGCCTCGCCGCCATCCAATCATTGTCCGCTGTTGAGGATAAGGTCGATTCACTTTTTTGTTTGCTTTATGATGTTTAGCTGGATTATTGGATTGATTTTAGGTTGATTTTGGTGTTTGGTTTCATCGGGAGTAATCGACCGCCTTCCCCCGCCCTTGACGCCGATGTACGCACTGCCGGTGCGCGTGGGCAAACTTCTCTAGCCCAAAACCCTTTGAATCGGTCCGGTAAGACCGGACCGGACTAAACCGATTTACCCTGGACCGAACCGATCAATCTTTGAACCGATTTAATTAAGTCAACTTGTACAGAGTCAACTCGAATCGAGTCAATTCAGACATGTCTAACCCATTGACTATGACCAAACCATTGACTTTGACCCAAACTGTTGACTTTGACTTTGACCCAAACTGTTGACTTTAACCAGGGTTTACTTTGACTAAAAAGTCATAATTTTCGAAAAGTCATACTTTCATGTTTTCAACGTCCTAAGTCCATATCCAAAGTCCGTTTCGCCAAATCCTAACCCGAAAAGCCTCCAAATTAACCTCTGAACCTAAACTTACATAATTACTTTAATTAAACTATTTAAAGAAAAATAAAGAAATGACAATATTGATTACGACTTTGGTTATGGTAGGTACTCGTGTTTCTCCCGACCCGTCGATTGCTCAACCAGCTCATCTCGTTCCATCTGACTGCGTGAGCCATGATTATTCGTTTAATTCTGTAACTCTATTAAATACTTTGTTCAATATATTATTTTAATAGTAACATTGTTTTAATCTAATTTAGGGTCGTGTACTAATTTTGTTCGTACGAGATCGGGGCTCAGTAGATCTCTCAGATCAACCCGATTTGTGAGGTGTGTTCCTTGTGTTATATATATATATATATATATGTCTAAATTACCACGTGCACATAAATGTTTTATTTGTTTTGGAAACGTGAATGATTTAGATGATTGAAAAGTCTGATTTCAGTTTACTGATTTTTTGAATCTCTAATATATGTTTATTGATTTTATATTCTTGTTTAACTAGTAAATGTTCTCTGGTTACTGTTTACTGAAAATGTTTTGCCTCTGATTTCCTGATTAACAAGTATTGTATGAAATTATTTTTATTGGGGTTCTGGCATGTACTCTGGAAGCTCTGGAGATTCAGCTCCGATCAAGTTGGTAATTTCTTATAGACCTAATACGATCCTTGGGTGGGCACCTAGGCATAATGAGCCTAGTGGTAAGACCTTATGGACTCTATGGCTCATTTGCTTTGTGGATTGGGTAAGTCTTTATGGACCTGAGGGCACTCCCCTCAAGTGGCTCGTACGCTTCGGCTAAGGTAAGTCCTTATGGACCCAAGGTGCTCCTTTAGGTTGGCTCTTAGATCTTATGGACCTAGGGTAAGTCCTTATGTAATACAGTTCTGGGGAACTGCATTTAGTATAAGATTGGAGAGTAACTCTGTGATTTTACAAAAAACTGTACTGCTATTTTCATTTTATAAAATTGAATTGATTTTTAAAATTATCTGTATGTTTTACTTTTCACTGTTGGAACACACTGAGCTCCCTAGCTCACTCCTCCATCTTTTCCCATAACTGCCTTTATTTTGGTGACATGTGCCTAATATTTTGATACACTGATTTTATAATGTATTTTACATCACATCTGTTGTATAGATATTTTATTTTACTTACTATATTTCATGTTTTCTATAACTTGATTTGGGTTTTAATATTATTATTACGTTTTTAAAGATAATGATGATTTTAAAGTAGTTTAAAATTTCTTGAAAATTGTTATTATAATTCGCCAGATTTAGTTGTTTCGCATAGTTTTGGTCTAGAGGGTTATAATTAGTGATATCACAGTTTTTGATTTTTTTTAAATCTTGAATTGTGGATGGTTCAAAACAAAAACATAATTTTGAAATATTTTATGAAACAACTACTGAAGGTCGTGTCACCAAGTTTTACAAGTTTATTATGTACGAGACTCTAAGTGCCAAAACCTAACCATAGGTTATATCTTATGTAGTGTATCTAGAGACTCATCCGAGATGAGTACTAGACGAGGTCATCAATATACTCCTGCGCGAGGTTGACCGATTAGATTCCCTGATTTAATAATAGACCCATTACTTGGAGATGACCCTTCTGCCCCTAGAGATTCTCCAACACTGAGAGATACGTCACCTGCCCCTGGTATAGGTTTGACTACCCTATTAGAGGAACGTCAGATTCTATGATAGAGCCTGTTAGTGTTATTCTAGATGATAATTTCGATAGAAATTTTCTCCAGCTAATTCAGGGTGTGGTTAGAGCTGCAAGTGTTACACCCGAGGTTCCTATTTCTCATACCCTTATTGTAAATGAAGTCAAGACTTCTACAGACCCTATTGGTGGAACTTCGATTGAAGCCGAGGATTGGATTTGCAATACTGAGTGGCGTATAGACCAATTAGGTTTAGATCCGCAAAGGAGATAATTAGGAGTTGTGTCCATGTTGAATGGGAATGCCCACACCAAGTGGGAGTTCGTAGTGAGTAGTGTTCTGGCTAATCGCCTGACGTGGGATTTCTTTAAGAAGCATTTTAGGAATCGGTTCCTGGGAAAGAGATATCTAGCACATATATGACAGCAGTTTCAGGACCTTGTTCAGGGAGATATGATTATTTTTGAGTATGAGATAGAGTTCTTGAAGTTGTCAAAATATGGTTCTATCTTGGTGCTTACTGAGAGAGATATGTGTCGTAAGTTTGCTCAGGGACTTAGGTATAAGTTGTGTAAGCAAGTTTTTACTCATCAGGATAAGGTGTTTGATAAGTTGGTAGGGAGAGCGAAAGATGTTGAGGAAATTAAAGTTAAGGTTTCTGTTAGCAAGAGAGTAGATCGATAGAGGTCTAGGAGGCCTTCTAGTGTATATGAGTCTTATGCCTATCTTGAGAAGAAATTTCGTTCTGCTTCCCTTCAGAGAAGTAATTCTGGTTTGAGGCATGCGTCCCCTCCTCCCTTAGCAGTTAGTCGAGGTGACTCTTCATGCTTCTCTCCTATGTCGAGTTGTGAGTTTTGTGGTAGTTGACATGGAGGGAAGTGTCGAAAAAAGATGGGTACATGTTATCGGTGTGGGTCTAGTGAGCATTTCCTTAGGAATTGTTCCCACCATACCTCTTTTGAGCGTATATCTACTCTAACCTCTGCCCGTTCCCAAGCTTCTGTTTAGACCCTAGCTAGGAGTCATAATCAGGGTAGGACTTCTGGATTTGCTTCTAGAACTTTTAAGGTATAGCCTGATCATAGTAGAACGGAGGACCATCTTTGACTCCAGCGAGACATCATGCTTTTGTCTATGCCACTAGAGGTTTTGATGATTGAGATAACTCGAGCCTTCTGCATTTATATTTATTTCTATTTATGTTTCTTAGCATTATTTCTGAATAATGACCTCGTCTATTCCAAGATTTCGAACCCTTTATCCCGAGACCCTAATATTCTGATTTAGTATGTTGAAATAACTAATACCATTACAGTTGTGATTCTAGCGAGATTATATATTATCATAGATAGAATACCTGGGATTCGATTTTGAAGGATTCATTAGAGACCTAGGTTCTGCATCTGTTCGACTTAGGTAAATTTTGAGGATGAAATTCTTTTAAGGGGAGAGTTGTAACACCTTCATTTTATTTAAATTTTAATTTAATCTTATTTAATTAATTATGGGGACCAAATCCTTAAACTTTAAAAACTTGAGGATAGTTCTCGAAAGATTTAGAAAGTCCAAGGATCTGGGCTAGAATTTTCCTACCGTATACCTGTAAAGAAAAATAAAAATGGATTTGGTGAGTTTTGTAGTCGTGGGGTTTTAAACCCATTTATTGCTATAATTTGTGGTCATGCTTTAGCAGTTTAGGCTAAAGCATTATTTATTTGATTATAAAAAATTCTAATATTAAACTTTCCCAAATTGCCTTCCCCGATTGAATCAAATCCCTAGAAAATTAAAAACCCAAAATCCCCATATCGGTTAACCCTTTCTTCACCACCGTCCACCATCATTCCTTCATCCACCGTTAGTCATGATCGACATTATCGGTACCAACTAGAGTTTCATCGTTGTTCGATCAAAACCTCTCTGGTTATTTCCCAAAAAACACCGCCGATTGACGTGGAGAACTTGGTGAAAGATCATCGAAACCTAAAAAACCATGCTTTTGTCTCTGTCTGATTCTGGCCACCATAGGCATCTGTAGGTCGGGTCATCGCCACCAATCGACTCACCATCCCAGCCCGGTCAAAACTTGACCAGCCTCGCCCCGTTTAGGGTCGTCATTCGCAACTAATCAACCATCAAAGCTTTGTCAAAGAATCTCTATCGCCGCCACTGTTTTGCCATTTTGTGTTGATCATGACTCCTGCTCGCCTCACTGCTACTGTCGTTGGACTCCTTATCTCTTTTCAACTAAAACCCACTGGGATCCGTTACCTCATCGTCGTCCAATCATTGTCTTCTATTGAGGGTAATGTCGATTCAATTTTCCCTTTGCTTTATGATGTTTAGTTTGATTATTGGATTGATTTTGGGTTGATTTTGGTGTTTGATTTTATCGTGAGTAATCGACTGCCTTCTCTCACCCCTATTGCCACCGCAAGTGTCGCCAGTGCTCGTGGTCAAACTCCTCCAGCCCAAAACCCTTTGAACCGACTTGTTAGACCATACCAAATTGAATTGGTTTGTCCTGGACCGAACCAGTCAATGTTCGAACCGAGTCAACTGGGTTAACTCACACAGAGTCAACTCAAACCGGTCTGACATGTTAAATTTGACTGAAGTGTTGATTTTGACCCATACCATTGATTAGGATTGATTTTGATCAAAAAGTTAAAATTTTTGAAAAGTCATATTTTATGCTTTTTGACGTCATGAGTCCGAATCCGAAGTCTATTTTGCTAAATTCTAACTTGAAAGCCTCCAAAATTGACATCAGAATCCAAACTTGTATAGATACTTTCATTAAATTGTTTAAGTAAAATAAATAAATGAAAAGAATTGATTACGACTTTGGTTATGGTAGGTACCCATGTTTCTCCCGACCCGTCGACTGCTCAACCTAGTACCTCTTGTTTCGTCCGACCATATGAGTCGTGATTATTCGTATAATTTTGCAACTCTATTAAATACTCTATTCAGTATATTATTCTAATAGTAACACTGTTCTGATATGATTTAGGGTCGTGTACTAATTTTGCTCATAGCGAGATCGAGGCTCAATAGATCTCTCAGACCGACCCGTTTTTGGGAGGTGTGTTCCTTGTGTGTTATATATATGTTTTTAAATATATGTCTGAATTAACATGTGCACATGAATGTTGTATATGTTTTGGAAACATGACTGATTTAGATGATTAAAAATTATGATTTCGGTTTACTGATTTCCTGAATCTATGATATTTGTTTGATTGATTTTAGATTCTTGTTTGACTGGTAAATGTTCTTTGGCTACTATTTACTGAAAATGTCTAGCCTCTAATTTTATGATTTACTAGTATTATCTGAAATTATTTTCACTGGGGTTCTGGGATATACTCTGGAAGCTCTGGAGGTTCAGCTCCGATCAAGTTGGTAATTCCTTATGGACCTAAGGCGAACCTTGGGTGGGGTCCTAGGACCAATTGGGGTAGTGGTAATACCTTATGGACCCTATGACGCACCCATAGGGTGGTATCTTTGCTTTGTGCATTGTGTAAATCCTTATGGACCTGAGGAACTCCCCTCAGGTGACTCATACGCTTCGGTCAGGGTAAATCCTTATAAACCCAATGTGCTCCCTTAGGTTGGCACCTAGATCCTATGGGCCTAGAGTAAATCCTTATGGAATGCAATTATGGGGAACTACATTTGGTGTAAGGTTTGAGGGTAACTCTGTGATTTTACAAAAAACTGTACTGCTACTTTCATTTTATAAAATTGAACTGTTTTTAAAATTATCTGTATGTTTTACTTTGCATTGTTGGAACACACTAAGCTCCTTAGCTCATTCCTCCATCTTTTCCTTTTCAGATATTTTGGATAGTCACCCTAGAACCGACACTTAGAGGATTGACACATTCTTTATAGTATATTTTTGTTGTAATATTTTGGTGGCATGTGCCTATCATTTTGATACACTGGTTTTATGACGTATTTTACATCACCTCTATTGTATGAATATTTTATTTGACTTGTTATATTTCATGTTTTCTATCACTTGATTTGGGTTTTAATATTATTATTATTTTAAAGATAATGATGATTTTAAAGTATTTGAAAATTTATTGAAAAATGTTATTGTAATCCGCTAGATCTAGTCGTTTCGCATAGGCTGGGTCTAGAATGTTACAATTAGAGTCAATTTAATGTATAAATACATGTATCTCAGGGTCAGGTATGTGAACCGTATTGCCTCAATAGTTTGAATTTTTTGCAGGTTTTGCTTTTGGTGATTCTCTCACTCTTATTTAGTTTAATTGTGTAGTTTAGTTTAGTTTTTATTCTGCAACGTCGCTACCTCGTGCTTTATTGAATACCCCAGATGATGCATGTTCTACTACTTGCTCCGTAGCAGAATTCTCTGATTAATTTGTTAACCAGAGAGATAATTAGTGTCTTTCGTCGTGTGGTGCATAATATCGTGCCCGTTTCTATGCTTGAACCGATTATGGCTTGTCGTTAGAGCATTTGCTTGTTCTAGGGGCTAAAGATTTTGAAGGGATTAGAAAGACTAAGATGACCATTATTGAGGATTGGCTAGAGAGCTTCATTCGGATTCTTAAGCAAATGGGTTGCTTGGATTTTGGCATCATAATTTAAAGCAATCTAATTATCTTAAATTATTATTGAGAGATAATTACAACCATTCTTATTCGTTCTTTGTGTGCGACATTATTAGTTCAATTAATACATTGACAGCAGATAAAATCATATTTGACCCTACAAGTAAAATATGATCTATAACAAGATATTATAGCTATCCAATTTAAATGAAAAGTTCATGATTTGAGATAGATTTAATGCAGTTCATGTTGAAATCATTTTATTTCACGACATCTTAATAAAATATATGACAAGTAAAATACCAAACTTATATCGTTTTATTTTCAATTTCTTGATATCCAATTGATATGAAGCAAATGATTATTTACTTCTTTCATTTGAATAAAAAAAATTAAGGTAATTCACTCTCACTTTCACCATTTCCTTTTTTTTTTTTCCTTTTTCTATTTTATCTAATTTGAGTAATTTTTTTCTTAAAACTATTCAAATAAATGTGTGTTTGTCATTAAATACATGTAAAGTTTGAGACTTTTTAACTTATTTTTTAAATAAAAAACTAAATATATGTATTTTTTTCCTATCTTTATGAATTTATAATAAATTTTTATAAATGTTTTTTATTAAATACAATTTTATAAAATTTTAAAGATTAAAAATGTAATACGATATTATCACTTACCTATGGTATAAATTTTATTATTAGATTATGAAACATGTAGTTTTAAAATAATAAATAAAATTTAAATTTAAACAGTAACCATTCCTTAAATATTAATTTTATAAAAATATTTATTTCAAATATTTAATTCTTTAAATGTATATTTAATTTTTATGTCAACTATAAAAAAATCTTTAAATATTAATTTAAAAAATATAAATTATACATTTTTATTTAAGTGCACAAAGTTAATTTTAGTTAATGTTGTTTAATATTTTATTTTTATGAAAATAGATATTAATTGGTTTTGTCAAAGTAAGTGTCTAACATTTTATTTTATTAAAAATATGAATGAGAGACACACAATATATTTTTTAGTATTTATTTTTAAAAATAATTTAAAATTTTAATTTAGAAATTCTGAAATACTTAAACTCCTAAACCCTAAATTCATGAAACTCTAATTCTATCTTTTACCACGATTAAATAAATTGTCATTGCCCATCCATCTCACTATCTGACCTCTATTATCGGTTGTTATACTCTTTCATCACTAGAAATCAACGAATAACATGTCAGTTGAATGTCAAACATTGAACATCAAACATGAAAATTTTCAATCAAACGACAGATGATGAACTAATGAAACATAAACTAAGTGTTACGGGAGGAGACTCCATTGTTGCAGCAACGATAAGGATGGATTTACGAATTTTAGGTTAGGGATATCACTTTTGTGAGTTTATGATTTTAGTGAGAAATTAAATAAATCTAGTTTTTTTAATTTAAAAAATTTAATTTTTTTACAGTAAAATTTTAAAAAATATGTAAATCAAATTATGTGTCAAGTAAAGATAGATTTCAATTTTTTAATAGATGGACATTAAAATGATTAAAAACGTTAACTATATATTTTAAATAAAATAAACTTGAAACATTTAAATATATAAAATATAATTTAAACATTTATTTTATACTTAAGCCATCTTTAAAGGTAAATTTTAAAATAACAATAAAATAAATAAAGAGGTGTACGAAGTAGGAACAATAGGAGGGTTCAAACCCAAAGCTGGGTTATTACACAGCACAATTCATCAAAGATTGGCTGTCCTTATTGATACTGTGTTACATCAAAGTAGAAAAAAATCCCAAAAAAATAATGTCAAACCTCATTAAAGTTACGCTAAAAAAAACACTTAAAATATCATTAGTTCTTGGAAAGTGGAAAGATTTATCCTAGGAAAGGTCGAGGGCGTCTAGAGATTGGAATATCATTATCCAACCGAGTAAATATTGACAATCAAATACAATTTTTCATCAAAAAATATTTCACCGGGTGAGATTTTCTGCTTCTAATCTTTCAAGTTCTGCTCCGTTTTAAAATAATCATTTCCAATTATTACTATGGGATGTTTACTGTTTGTGTTTTTGAAAAATATAAGAAAGTGGTGGGTATGAGATTTTAACCCTTTTTTGAGCATGGGGGTTGGAAAAATTGTTTCTTTTTGCCATTTTATGAATTTCCATGGCTCTTTGCTTATGGGTTTAGGTGTTTTTAAACTCAAATTGTGTGATTTTTGTTTTGGATCTTCGAGAGTTTCCCTAACACGTTTTTTTTAGTGATTTTGGCGTATGGGTATTTTTAGCTTAGTGTTTGATCTTTAGAAGTTTACCTTTTTTCTAAAAAAATGTTTGCTAAAACTTTGGCTTGGTAATGTGTTCTTCTTTCTTCAAAGCTCTATATTTTAGGGCTTTTGTGATTTATGTTATATGCCATTAATTTGGTTATATTCTTTGCTTGTGCAATCTAGATCTACTTTCTGTAGGATTCTGGCTTGTTCTTTTGCATTGCTTGCTGGGGAAAACTTTTGAAAATTGTTAAATATTTAAGCTTCTGAACTTTGGGTTTTGTATTCATTGCTTGCACATTCATTTTTGTGTAGTTTTGCTTTGCAATCATGGGCTATTCTTTCTTAGAATTTGTGTGTCTGTTGCTGCATGAAAATGTAACGATCTTCGATGTAAGTTTGTGTTATTATTTTTCTATTTCTGGTGCTTTTGACTGTTGAATTCATGTACTATTCAAATGGTCTAGAAGTCTGGTATTAAAGCGTGTCTGTTTTTTGTTGACTTGATTAGGCAACTTATTCGTAACTTTTTGTACTTTCTCCGTTTACTTGCGTGGTTCTTATTTTTGTCAAATTCTGGTTTGGGGATTGTCGGATCTTGTGTTGACTGTTGACACTAGGAAGAAAACCGAAAATTTGATAGTTTTCTTGTTAACAAGCAGTACTATTCTTTTCGAAGAATGTCGGACAATCTAATCCATGTTCTTCTTGAGATCTTCATCTTTTATTGTTGCTTGGTTGTGTATCTGAACCTTAATAAGAGGGATATAATCTAAAAGGATTATCTAGACATGGGGAACTGTTTTGCTCTCTCGGATGCCTAATTTCTGAGAGCTTTATAACGTGATTGACATTGGTTTTTTGGCATCGTCTAGTGGATAGTTTTGGCTCTATTTTTTCTTTTGTTAGTTTCATCCAGTTGGTATTTTCGACTGGCTTGTGGGGATTGGTCGATTTTTTATTTGAATCATGATTGACATTATTTTTCCTGTGACTAGGTAATTTCTTTTGTAGTGTTCTTGGCATTCTATGGTTATCGGAGAGCATTTCACTGTCATTTTGGATAGGAAACTGTTGACATTGGTTTGCTCTCCCAGTCACTCATATTGTTAGCTGGTTCTGGATTAATTTTTATTGTGTCCGCCCCTGTTTATTTTTTCCTTCATATTGTTCTGTTACTATCTTTCCAAAAGAAGGTGGTTATACTTCTTTCAGTTCATTTCACGCACCGTTTTAATATGTTTTAGGGGTATTAAAGAAGTACGATCACGATGCATGTAGTGTAGAACATCGGTCTATGGAGAAAAAGATGAGAACAAAGCAGCAAATGGGATTCCAGGTTTTGACTCACCGTTACCGATTACCAACGTACTGTAAATTCCCCAGCTACTCCCTCTAATTATGGTATCGATCATCTATCAGCTTATGGTTCACTTATAAATGATCAATTTCATAGTTGTATTCTTTATCTTCCTGTATTCGATTGCCTTTATCTTCTCAGCATTTCATATTATGTATTCAAATGTTGTTACCGCTTAAGATTCACTGGAGTTCTTAGAATAAATCTTCCGTTCATTTAATATAATGTTTTATCAACACCAAATCTTAACATTATTGATTTGAACATGTAGTAGGTAGGGATTTCTTTTGTGTCGTAAGGGAGTGTAGATAATTAATGCTTTGGTAGCTAGAGATGCTCAGCCTTGGTGATTGCCATGAGAAAAGATACTTTCTATGATAAGAACTATGCTCAAATAAGATTCTGTGTTTTAATGAAGTTATTTCGGAACGGTGGGTCTCTTAACTCAGATTTGATATTTGTCGAGAATTTACTCTTCTTTCTCTCTACAACTGTGAAACAAATGTTTTGATGGCATTGCATTGTATCGGTTTAGTGTTTTGCTGTGCCTTTAGGGGATAGCAATTCTCTGTTCTAACCGAAAAAACCAACAAAACTGAGCCAATTGGTTTAGTGTTTTGCCTTGCCTTTAGGGGAGAGCAATTATATGTTCTAACCGAAAAAACCAACAAAACTGAGTCAATCGGTTTAGTCGGTTTCAGTTTAATTGGGCAAGTAGGTTTAGTTGGTTGGAGGTTCCATTAAGATGGGGTTTTTTGGTCAGTTTCGGTTATAAAATTTCATGACTAAATT